TGCTTGGTGCCTAAAGCTCCTTGGGTTCACAACTGCTTTGATGGTCCTTTATATCCTAGCTTGCTTCTTTGTTTAATCAGTATTGCTTTTATAGTCCACCTTTCCTCTAAGGCAGGGATATCCAACCGGTAGATCACGATCTACTGGTAGATCACCTGGCTGCCCCATTTAGAAGAGGAGAAGAAGAAGAGTTTGGATTTGATATCCTGCTTTATCACTACCCAAATGAGTCTCAAAGTGGCTAGCATTCTCCTTTCCCTTCCTTCCCCACAACAAACACTCTGTGAGGTGAGTGGAGCTGAGAGACTTCAAAGAAGTGTGACTAGCCCAAGGTCACTCAGCAGCTGCATGTGGAGAAGCGGAGACACGAACCCGGTTCACCAGATTACGAGTCTACCACTCTTCCCCCCCAAGAAATTTTTTAAAAATGTGACTTCTCCCCACCAAAAAGCTCAACAACTTTGCCTACCCCCCCCCGCCCAACAACTTTGGGCAGTTAGCCACCATCTTGGGTAGATCACTGCCAGTTTCTTTTATAGTGGGAGTAGATTGCAATCTCTTGGGAGTTGGACGTGCCTGCTCTAAGGTACTCAAGGTGGCATACATGGCTTGGCTAAGAGAGAATGTCTGGTCCAAGGTTCCCCAGTGAGATCATGGCTAAGTGGGGATATGAACCCTGTTCTCCCACCTCCTAGCCCAACACTATTAGTGTGCGCTCTCTCTCTCTCTCCCCCCCCTCTCTCTCTCACACACATTATAATATGAGCAAAAGCATCCTAAAAGCCTCCCCTATAACATATCAACAGCTATAGATTAAAAATGCCAAATCAGAGGAGAACTTAATTTCTTACTGCATTTTAATGCACGGTCCAAAGTAACCAAGTATGCAAAAGGTTGAATGCATTCATCACAAACAGTTCTGTTTTCTCTCTTTACACCAATGAGAAATTACAGGATTACCAATGACCTTCCTCCCAATGAAGCTCTGTAATTATGGTCATTTGTTATAGAGCAGAGATGAATAGATGGGATTTACACAGAATAAAAATATTATTTAAGAGCTGTATTATTGATATGGTAAATGAAACCTCAATTTATTTAAATGCTGTTACTGTATTGGTAAGGTATTCTTTGTCAATTAACCCTATGAGCATGAAATTGACAAAATTTCAATGAATGTTGCACTAAAATCCATTTGTACTATTGTACTAAAATCCATTTTCTCCTGTGATTGCATAACATCATACAACTTAAACTATTTGCAGCTAAGTGCTGCTAAACTTTACAAATGGAGCTGCTTTATTTGTATTCTCCTTGCTACCCCATTGATTCATGGCCATTGTACTGAGATGTTTAGGAAGAAAAAGATAATCTTCAAAGCTAAACCGTTTTATAAAGTCTGATTCTTTGGGCATGTACTAACTACACATTAAAATGCTGCATTTTGCAGCCCTTTGCAGTTTTGCCTTTTGCTTATTTAAGTTGCTAAGCTGAAACATGATTTTGTGCCTGCAAAAGTAGCATGAACAATTATTATTTTTAAAGAAGAGATAGAGGAGAGATAGGAATCTTATTTATCCCACTGAATGTGTGCTGTATTAAAAGAAAACATGAAATAGATTCGATTAGCTCTTTGATTGATTTAAACACACACATAACACACATATTATTCCTTGCGTTATCTCTTTTGTATTCTAGACATTTGCCCCAAGCTGTCATTATTCCATGCTCATCGACAGAAGAGTTATAGTTTGCAAAAACCTATCAGGTAGGCTGGACACCAGATAATTGAGGTGATGATCAGCACTAGCAAAAGACAATTGATAGTGAAAGTGTTAGAGGCTGTACCTAACTAGATCTGTACCCTTTGTCTCCTTTAGCCTTTCTTTCGAATGGACAGAATATGGGAATAACATGGACATGTCTGATGCGCATCAATAGGAGGCATGGCAGTGCATAATACTTCTTAGCAGAAATATGATGGCTGTATTTTTTGATGCCTTAGCAGGTTATTAAGAGAAGCAGGAACCATTATGAGATTATCCTGACCCCTCAATACATTTTGATCAAACACTTAAAAAATAATAATTGACACCACTGAACTCTACACGAACAGGGGAGAGAATCAAGCAAAAAAAAATGTAGAAGAAAGCAGAAGTATAATTCAGTCCTTAGCAACTTTTTCTTATGTAAAAATGTCTATTGTTCATTGCCAAAGTTAAAAGATCCTACAGCTAAGAGTCTCCCTTATGCAAAAGTTTTCCACGCTTACATTACTAGAAGGAAATGAGAAAATAGAAACTTCTTTAAAAACCTACAAATTTAATTCTGCCCCAAGTCGAGCTTCTTCTGCTTTTCCATTTCTCTGGCTAGTTCCTTTTCTCTCCCTGCTCCACTACCACCCCACGTTAGTTATGTGTTCAAGAGAGGAGACACTTTTTGAACTCTTGCCATCTTTTCCAACATATCCCAGCTTCTTGTTAGCTTGCCCATGGGTGGCCACAGAAATAATTTGGAGGAGAAAAGGTCTATGACTTGTAAGCCACAGTTCTCTTGCCTGTTTGCAATCTTTATATGACTGAACCCCTCCTACTGCTGGCTGGGAAAATAAAACGTAATAACAACATAGAGGTCCTTTCAAATCAGCAGAGAATGCCAACCAAGGAGAATATTGGGAAGGCCATGCACAGCAGAATGCTTTTCGACCCACGCTATCATAACTTTCTGTAAAGGTCCAATGTTGTGTTAGCAACTCAGATTTTAACAGGTCTGATAGAGGATTTGCTTTTGCTATGTAGTTTCCTAGATCCAGTTTTTCCTGCTCAAGTTGTACGGATCTCTTAGATCTGTCAGCAGCCTTTGATATGGTCAATCATGATCTTCTGGACCACCGCCTCACCGATGTGGGTATACAGGGCACAGCCCGACAATGGCTGTGCTCTTTTATCTCTGGTTGGGGACAGAGGGTGGCACTAGGGAGGGAGTTGTCATCACGCCATTCCTTGGTGTGTGGAGTGCCGCAGGGCGCAATCCTCTCCCTGATGCTTTTAAACATCTTTATGCGCCCCCTTTTCCAGATTGTCCAGAGCTTTGGGCTGGGTTGTCACCAATATGCTGATGACACTCACCTCTATCTGCTGATGGATGGCCACACCGACTCGGCCCCGGACACACTGACCAGATGCTTGGAGGCTGTGGCTGGGTGGTTTTGTGGGAGCCGATTGAAACTAAGGGCCAGCAAGGCCAGAAAAAGCAGGAAAGAGCAGAGACTTGAAGTTTGGTGGCTACTCTCAATAAGTGTAGTCTCAGGAATCACTCTGAACTTCTAGTTTAGGATTCCAGGGGAGGCAAACGCCGCTTTTAAGCACTACATGAGAAAAACATCATTCAAATGAATCTAGGTGATGTTATATTCTATAGCTGCTACGTGTTTCCTCTCAAAACTCAGTGGAGGAGGCTGTTGAAGGCCCTAAAAGATGGGAAAGATGCCCACCGGAGACCCTGGAAAACCTAGATGGACAAATACTGTGACCAGGTATAAGGCAGTCTACTATGACTCTGTGGTATCTAAAAAAAACTGTTTCTTTCTCTTCTAGGTACTACAGCTGTGGAAACCTAGGCATGTTGACTCAGAAGGAAACCCCATTTAGTCCATGTGACTTACTCCCAGGAAAGTGTTTGCAGACTGAGAGTTCTATATTCTTCCCAAGCTGCATTTCTTGTTACATGTCAGCTCACTGGGACATATTCTTTTGCGTTTCTGATTTTCACTCCAGGTTTGATGGAAGGGAAGCGACATCAAAGGAATCATGTGCATTTCAAAGAGCACTTTCAATACGCTGCTAGTTCATTCAAAACAAAACGCCATATTCCTGTCATAATTTCTAGATAATACTTAAAACACCAACCAATAAGAAGTTCAGAAAGCAAGATATGCACCCGCTCATCATAAATACTGGCTGTATACCACGGATGCTGGAAGAAACCATTTGTGAAATGTCTAGTGTTGGTCCTCCTTATGTATATAGCCATATCCGTATGAATCAGCATAACAGACATCACCTGCAACATTATTCCCCTCCTACAATTCCCTTACAACTTTGAGAGACAGTGCCTGTTAATTTAATATAGACTCAAGATTGATTTATGACCAAGGAATAGATATAATGATTGTCATTGGAATTATGGTGACATTGCTTCTTTACCACAAGCCACTCCCCGTATGTACCATAATTCAAGTGTGAAATGACAATAACACTAGCTGTGAAATTTATGTCCATGATTATAAATTAAAAGGTTTTTGGCTGGACCTGCAGAAGTGGTGTAAATCTGCAATTGCCAAACAGCTTTTATGGGATTGGATTGGGAATATGATCTATCAAGTTTGGTGACAAAAGAAGTAGTTGATGGTTTGACTGTCATATAACAGATATCCTGTGATAGGATCATAGGAAACACCATGAGTAAATTGAACCCATAATGCATTATTTCTTAAGATATCAATGTCAGGCTTGGATACAAATGGAGGTGGAGTGTTGTAAAGGTGGGAAATGCCCCTACACGCTATGAAAGAATAGAAGACCATAGCTGGGAGACTCTTGCCAGAAAACTGAAGATTGAACTACAGGGCTGAAAGTTCATATGCTCAGTTAATAACTGCTTAGGCATATATTGCATACTGTTTTGGTTTAATAAGTCCTCTGAGGTTTCAATTGCTTTTTGAAAAATTAACTTACAACTTTGCCTATGGATGCATCTGACATGGCAAATCACAGTATACAGTGGAACCTGCCTTAGGGAAGCAAACCGAATTAATGCTTTTAGATTCCTGAAGCTTTCCAGTTCTACATTTTGGATTTCTAAGTACATAAGCATTTTGTGTGTATTTGGTGTGGTTTTTTTAAAGTGTTGCACACCATCCCAGTCTCCAAGTGCTGCAAGATTCCAGGCACTTACCCAGGGTTCAGTTTCCTCACAATGAGGGACAGTGGAGACTGTGGTGTGTTTATGATATATGGTTTATTTACACATATATACAACCTGAGCCTGTGACAGAGGGGCTCATAGCATTAATACCCCCAGAGGGTCTTGCTTTTCTCATAGCCGCTACCGCCTTGGATTACAGCAGAAATCAAGCATGTCTCTCCTTCACAGGCTTCTGCCTGCAGCCTGTTTCTAACTTCTGACTACTAGCCAGTTGAGGGAGGGGAGAATGAATAATTTTCTTTCTCTGTGGCTGGGTGGGAGAAAGTAATAAGGCATTGCAGGTAAGTCAAAGGATGTTCTTGAGTCCCAAAGCCAGCTGGGCAAGAGACTTGTGGTCTCCCATGACACCTTCAAAACTCCTTGCAGTCCCAGCAGGTGGCCTTCCAAAAACAATATATTCCTTGGCTGTGAATCTACATTTTGACTGACTACTCCTGAGACTGAGGTCGGTATTCTGAGCACTGCAGTCACTTTTCACTCTCCATGGCCAAGATAGTAAAAGTCTGCTGACTAAGCTGGGCTGTCTTTCAAACCTCCCCAGCTTGCTTCTTTCTTTCACATGTGGTTGTGAATCTTTTGCACTTGCATCTGAAAACTTTTGTGGCAGGGCATTCTTCTTTTCTGGGGAGAGCCAAGAATGTGGTGAAGGCAGGGAAATGGCTTGTCTTCTGAATAGGAGCAAAGCAGAACACAGGATGTTGGTTGATGCAGCAGCTGGAATCCTAGAGATGTTAAGACTATTTTCAAACATTAGTTAGTAGATTTATATCAGCTTTTCTTTTCTTTTCTAATTTTTATTTATGCATTTTTACAACTTATATATATGCACATCATGCAATATCCATGGTTTATCCCTTTTCCTAGGACATCCCAGTCTATCTCTCCATGGCATTCTAAGTAAACCTTGGTCAGATGCATATTCTAATATTCCACCCATTCCATTTTCATCTCAAAACTTTCTTTATTTGATGCTATCGACTTGTGTCTTCAAAGCCACTCTCAGCCTTAATAAAATGCAATGGGTGTTTAATTTTTTTTTTGCACACCCCCATAGGCTTAAAACAAAACAAAAGCAAACCAGTTAGAGCAGCAACAGATGTGAATTGTGTCTTCGACAGCTTCCCTTTCTCCCTTTTTCATGCCTCCCAGGCGTTTTGTGATAGTGGTCCTGTAAGTGGGGGAAGAGGCAGTCTAGCTGGAGGAGGTACATTATGTTGCCTTCATCCATGTTTGTAACCACAGGGCAGTTGGCAGAAGATGATCCTGTGAAATGAGAGAGAGGACAGTCGAGCCGAGGCCAGAGTAGGCCAGATTGTGTGTGGATGTACTGTTAAAGTTTTGCCACAATTGTACAAACTTACAGAGCTTAAATTAAAACATATTCAAGTTAAGGATGTAAAAGGACATTCCCCAGCCCCATCCAGCCCTGCATTCATCACCTGCAGCAGTGTTTCTGTTCTACTGCAGTTCATCTTCCACCCAAAACTGTTTTTCATCTTGCCATCCACTGTAGCAGAATTATGTTACGGCACTCCATCCATTTCCGTGCAAATGGGGAAAACGTAATCACTTACAGATTGTTTGCGGACTAGACGTAGTAACAATAGCAAATGCAGATTGTATTCTCTGGGTTGATTTCCATTCTAGATATGGGACAAATAAGCAAAGATCAGCAACTTCTTTTCCCGTTTCTGTCGGAATTCTCCAAAATCCCTATTCAAGATATATACAAATATTAGGTTTGTGTCAAAGCACGGTCTCACAGCATGCAGAAAGCAAATCATTCTCCAAATGGTCAAATACAGTAGTTGCCATTGCTATGGCTTCTACTTATTGAAATGAACAGGTGTGAGCTCTCATTATGCCAACTTGCAGCAAACCTGGGTAGCTCTGAAGTCAAGAGCTGAAAGCTACCAATTACCTCCCAGTTTTAACTTCCTGTTGTTGTTGTTGTTGTTGTTGTTATGCATATTTTAAATACTTGGGTTTTAACTGTTTCTATTGATAATATTATTGTTTTTTCTTTTGTAAACCACTATGAGGTTTTATTATAACCAAGTGGTATATAAATGATGTGAAATAAATAAATAAAAATAATTGATTACAACGGTTAATTAACTAGAGTGATAGTCAATGCTGGTCATATTTAGAGTAGACCCACTGAAATCAATTGACTCAAGTCAAGTGAAACCTTGATTGTGACTTAGGTGAACATCACTCTTTGACAACTGCCTTCCTCTAATAAATTAATGGTTCAATTAATGGTATCCTTTGTATGAAAATATTTGACCCAATATTTGACTGGTCAATTGCCTAATCACTTAAGAAAAGCAATATAGTTCTGATACAGGTTAGTCACTCTGAGGAAGAACTAAAATCAGGAGGGTGAGGTCTACACAACAAAGATTTTTCTTTAAAGTGTATGATCACGGAAATCCTTTTTTTCATTGTTCTTTGCATTTCTCCCAAGTCCAAATGAAAAACAGTAATAATGAATGTAACCCATCAGCTTAAAAGCCAATGAACTGCATAATAAAAGAAACTACCCTCTTCCATTCTAAGTACAGTGATACCTCAGGTTACAGACGCTTCAAGTTACAGACTCTGCTAACCCAGAAATAGTACCTCGGGTTAAGAACTTTGCTTCAGGATGAGAACAGAAATCGCGCAGCAGCAGCACAGCAGCAGCAGCGGGAGGCCCCATTAGCTAAAGCGGTACCTCAGGTTAAGAACAGTTTCAAGTCAAGAATGGACCTCCAGAACGAATTAAGTACTTAACCCGAGGTACCACTGTATAAAAGGATTTATTTTTTTCGTATTTTGCTAAAGGAATTTCAAACTTCAGCATTCCAACTCTCTATCCTAGGCAGCTAGAAGTGGGATATTTATAGCAAAGATCTAAGCTCCCTGAAAAATTTCAGTTGCAGAATAATGGAAATGCTGTCACGTCCTACATTATAGTAGCAAGAATTAGGCTCCTATGGATAGTTTATGAAGAGTGCAGTTTAGTTTTGTCAGGTTTTTAAGCAGACAGTTATAAATCTGAAAGAGGATTATTAGGTCTGGTTTCCACACAATGCCAAGCCAAACTATGTTTAAGCGTCAATGTGTGACTGTGCAGGTGCTCACAAAAATTGTCATCACTTTATTCCTCCCACCTCTGTCTTGCTGCAGCTGTGCTACCCAAAACTAAGCCAAGGCTCACCTTAGTGTTACATCTGAACCTGCGCTTATGGTTTGTCTTAGTTTGAGCTGTAGCAAAGTTTGGGTTCTGGTTTACAGTTCATGGTTTGCTTGGGAAAGACAATCCATGAGCTTGGGTTCAAACAACAGTAAGTCAAGCCGTGGCTCAGGTCTAGGTAGTGCAGCAATGGCAGAACCCAGAAGGGGCAGAAGGGGACACAGTTTTTACTGTCACCTGCACACTCAGGCATTCACACATATGTAGCCATGCTTTCGCTTAGCATTACAAGTGAACCAGGCCTTACAGTTGCACATGTTACCAGAGAGTAACTACGGGCCAAAATTTTATTGTTTTGGTCTAGACTCCATGCGGTTGGCTTAACTGTTTCTATATAAACCTTATTTTGTATATGGTTTTTATTCTGAAACAACACTGAGATGCTTCATAGGAAGCAATTCAGAAATGAAATAAGTAATAACTTTAGAGGATGTAAAATACATCACTTGGGAGATGTGGAGAAGGTCACATCTCAGAATTTACAGCTCGGCTAAAATCTTAGGGTGCATCTTAAGGTCCCAGGGCAGGTTATAACAATTTTAAATGCAACATTAAAACAGTTTTAAATAATACATAGTACTTGTTTGGCTTCAAATGACACCAGTGCTGCATGGTGGCTAGAGTGCTGAACTAGGATCTGGCAGATCAGGGTTCAAATTTGCACTCAGCCATGATCCAGTGAGTGACTTTGAGCCAGTCACTGTCTCTCAAGCTAACCTATCTCACAGGGTTTTGTGAGGATAAAATGGAGAGGGGAAGATGTGTTTATGCAACCTTGAACTATATGGAGAAGAGATGGGATGCAAATGTAATAATATATAATAACAGCTGCAGAATGGGAAATAGCAAAAGCTTCGTTTAGCAAAATAATAGCTACATCCTTGACCACCATTGCTATGACCGTAGTCAGAATCTGACAATTATCTAATACATGCAGTGGCGTGGCGTGGGGGGTGCAGGGGGGGCCGGCCGCACCGGGGCGCAGCATCTGGGGTTAGGGCAAATCCACAGGTTAGGGGGCACAAATCCACGGGTTAGGGGCGCAAATTACTTGCCTTGCCCCGGGGTGCTGACAACCCACGCTACGCCACTGAATACATGGACACCTTTTCAAGGTAGACAAGGATATTGGTTCTTCATGTATAAATTAAACCAAAGCAAAGTGGGAAGTAAACCTATTTTAAATCTGCATTAATCTTTTATGGCCTTTTCCTTTTCCCATAAACAGTTTGTAACCACATATCTATCATCATACACAAAACATCATGTAAAACCTTTCACTCAATAATCCAATTGATATCAAAGTAATATATTCAGTGGCAACAGTTCTCAAATGGGCCATTTTATAACCTAGGCAAAGGTTAATCATCCTTAGCTTCTTAAGTGTGATCCAACAATACCGCAGCTACTGACACATTTGAAATAGCACCAGGTTTTATGGTTAATTATAGGGCTGTGTCTTTGCTAATATTCAAACTTTCTGGCCAATAAATGTACAGAAGTGGAGTTGTGAAGGTCTCAGATTATTTGTGGTTGCTCAATCTGGGACACCAGGATTTGGGGGGGAGTTCAGGAGGACCCACCCCCACCCCCCCAAAAAAACCCCAGAGTTTTCCTCAAATGATTCGTTACTTTATACAATATTGGAAGGAAAAGTCAAACTATTAGGAAGAAGGCATTAAATGATATGAAAGGTGGAACTGGAACCAAAATAGACAGCTCTCCTTCTGGACTCCTGGCCCTGTTCCCATTAAGCGTGGTGTATAAAGTGCTATAGATTCTGTACTGCCTGGTATCACCAAGAGGCAGCCAAGAAAGGAGGAAAGGCCACAAATCTGCTGGTCACCACAGAAACATAGAATTGGCAGGACCTGCAAGGTAATGTAGCTGAACCTTCTTCCAATGTGGGAAATCCACCACTACAGCATCCCCGATAGGTGGCAATCCAGCCGCTGCCTACAGAATAATTTCCACTACCTTCAAAGGCAGTCTGTTCCACCGCCAAACAGCTCAAAGCAAACAAAAACAGCAAACCCATACTGAGTTATACTGAGAACAGGCCCATTGAAATGGATTTCAATGGGTCTAACTTTATGACTGACGTTGGACATCACCCATAACTGTTCACTGTGGCTATCCCTCTACTGATCAAGGCTAAGCAGAACCTGGAGCAGGGGAGCAGGACATCGTTTTTACAATGTACAAGTGCTGCCATAGTGCTTGGGAGAAGACTTAAAGCAGGTCCACAAGTCTGCTCTAGGCAGAGTGAGGTAGGTGGTGGCCATCTCAGGCAGCTCATTTTTTGTTTCCTGAAAGGGCATTGAATTGTTTGTTATTTAAGGGCAGTATTCAATGCTAGTCCTACTTGGAGCCGACCCATTAACATTAATGGACATTACTAACTTACACTTATTAATTTCAGTGGGTTTACTCTGAATAGGACTTAGCTTCACCTCATGTTTATTATTGTGGTTTTTTGTTTTTGTTTTATTTCATAGAGAGAGGCGCTTAAAGGCAATGATGACACATTCATACAAAATGTTAAAACTATGTCAGAGGGATGCTGCCCTAGACTTCCCCTTAGTATGTCATGCTGTGACAAATCTTGAGTGACTCTAGGCTAATCAAAGCTCTGTACATACTAATGTTCCTTATTAGTATTGTTCCACAATTGCCTATGCTAGATCAAACATTTCATAGCTGTCACCACGGCCCATCATTCTCCATCTAATTTAGGCACTGATGAAGGCAAAGCAACTGACTTGATGGCAAGAGACTGGCCCTGTCAGCAGAATTAGTGCTAGGATATGGTAGCCTTACCACTGAACCTTCAGCATTCTCCAGATGAACTGGTGACACAGCAAAACGTAATCTTCTTTATCCCTCTTGAGAACCTCTCGTCTTTAGTCTATTCCCACATAGGCAAAAAGTTTTTGTCTCACTGAACCTTTTTATTGACCATAGCTGTCACCCCTGCTCTGACCAATGACCTTATCTGAATATTCAGATGTATCACAGATCACAGGTTCAAATGATTTTTTTACCCTCTAAAAGACCTGTTTTTGTAGTGAGCTGATTATAAATGACAATATTATAAGGGGTGTAATTGAGATTCTACAAACAATTTGCGCCTTGAAGTTGCAGACCTAATGTATACAGAAGGGTGACTGCTGATGACATTTCAAAATCGTTTCCATGATTGTGTGGCAATGGTGTAAACAAAGCACTGGCTCCACTTGTCAAAATAAGGAATTAAGGTACAGTTATCCTCAACCAGTCTTGGGAAGCATAGCACTTTCCAAATATGCAACTTGTCTCCTCCAAAGGACTGAAAATCTGATACTAGATCCTCTTACTTAAGGACATGTTTGTGGTGGAGCCATTGATCTCCTGTTTCTATCTTATTTCTCGTTTTAAAAAATTCTGTGCTGCTTTCACAACCAGCTCAACAGCAACATCATAAATAAACAATAAACCATATTTTACTCATTTTACGTTATTTATTATTGCATTTATATCCCAGCTTTTGTCCAAGGAGCTCATGGTTCTGTCTTGCCTATGAGACTGAGAGATGGTAAGCTTCATGGCTGAGTCTCCAAGGTCCTGGTCTGACTGGAAATGCCTGAGCAACTAGATAAGTTTTTAAAGCATGCTGGAAGCACCTGACAGTTGGTGCCTGTCCAATTTCCAAGGGGAGGCCATTCCACAGAGTCTGCAGGTGCCAGCACAGAGAAGCCTCCTTTCCATGCCATCATAAGGTGAGCTTTTGTAGGCTATGCAGCTAACAGGAACTCCTCTATTAATTCTTCTCAGTATCAACTATGAAACCTCTTCCTCTTATGTTGACTTCATTTCTTGGCAGAGAGCTTCCATCAGCTCTCCACTGAGGTATGCTGGTGAGATATGGTAATTTCATGGTGAACTATGCTCCTTGTCCCTGGCCATCCTTCGCCAAAAGTAACACGATGGAAAGAGAATAAACCAAGTCTCATTCCACAACACCTAACATGATCTTTCCCATGGTCTGCTGGGAAAGGATATTTCAGAGAAAAGGAAATTTCATAGCTGTTGCTTGTTCATGCTGCTGCATTTAGCCTGATCTTCCATTTTTAAACAAATATTTTTACTTACTGCTTCCTCTTAAAAAGATGTTAAATGACAATGTATTTTAATGTTAACAGCATTTTAAAGGAGACAGCTTTGTGGGAGATTACATGTCCACATAAGGGCTGTTGGGTGACCATGATTTGTTTGACTGCTGAAGCTCTTTGAACAACCTCCATGAACTTACAAAATGGAACCATCTTGGTGCTGCTGAACCATTAGCCAAGGTACTCAGAAG